AACTTCTAAGTAGCAAAATAACTATCAAAACCAGGTTAAGCATATTTTTACAAATGTAAAAATCCCATTGATATGAGTTAAAATCACTTAGCTTTTAATTAGCAATTATTCACCTGTTGTATTCATAATTCATTCTACTAAGTTTAAAAGCAGACATCCCCAAAATAGCTTAGCTTTGAGGTCCTATGAGTTTATATAAACTTCTAGTAGGGAAGGACTTATATCCTACCCTAATATTCTTTTTTTTCTAATACAATAGATACTTCAGCACAAAATAAATAGTTAATCACTGGCTAGGAAAGACATTTTGAGCTATAAACCTTTGATACCACAGAGAGTAGCCTTTGGGTTTCCTAGATATTAACCCTCACACTTGAAGAATTAACTTTTCCTTACAATCAGTAAGAACTATATTAATTAAAGTGTGCAAACCAGCAACATCATACCACACACCGTAATTTCTTTTTTGATAGTCAATTACTGATTCACCCATCCATATCAAACCAATACTCTGAAGAAACAAGCATGTTCCTTTCTCTGAAGACTCCTCTTTTCCAATTAGAATGTTTAGCACATGTATCTATTAGCAAAGTCCAGTCAAGAACATGCTATCAGGTTGCAGAAATAAACTAGCTCACAGCATGAAACATTTATCTTCATCTCCCCAGGTTGTGGTCAACTCATCTCCAGTCATCAGGGGTGAAGTCCAAATGGGCATCAGTTGCAAACTCAGGAGTCCACACTTCTTTCTGTGTTCCAGACTGACTAATTTCTTCATTCAGTCTGAGTCCCCTCATGGGACCAAGTCAACAACATGGGGTTCTCATGACTCCTTGCTCCTTAGGCCAGCAACTCTTTTTCACTTATCCATACAAATGTGCATGCTACATCAACAATGCTGATGGAAGATGTCCACATTTAGTCTATTCATTGCTGCAAGGTGAATCTACAAATCCAGTCAAATGAAAATTACCCCACAGTACTGGTGGGCTTACTATCCCACCAGGCTAAGCCTCATACTCTCTAGTTCTACTGCTTCCAAGAAGCAGTTCTTTGGAGCAAATCTTCCCCTTTTAGTATATCCACTCAGCACTAGCTAAACACAGCTTTCATTCTTCCTAAAAATATATCTCATCATTATCACATCCAGTACTCATTTTTATATCTTAACATTGAAGAAACATCTGTATCTATAAAATACATCCAAATAAATACATAAAATTTTAACATATTTCATCCTAAACCATTAAGTGTATGTTGGCTTTACTTTTATAGTCTCTGACATTTAGCTGGACAAAGTTAGTACCTTGCTCTGAGTCTTCTCCAAGATATTAACATAACGTTAAATATTTCTTGATACATGACCCATTTATTCATTCCTTTGTTGTGTTGTTACCTGTGACTCAAAGAGACCCTATGCAGAATAGCTCTATCCCGAGACAATCTCACTGTCTCTGACACATCTACTCCATTACTCCAGGTAATGTGTCACTCTGTCTTATCCAGGGACTTCCTCTCCTGTGCTGTCCCTCTATGCTTCCAGGCATGATGTCCTTCTCCAAGGTCTGGTACCTCCTGACAACACACCCAAAGTGTGTGAGACAGAGCTTCAAAATATTTGCCTCCAAGGAGCAACCTGGTTTTACCCTTTCCATGATTGATCTGCTTTTTCTCTAGGCAATCGATGGTATGCTATATATCCTTCTTCAGCATCACAACCCCAAGGCATCAATTCTTCTGTCACCTTTGGTTATTGTTCAGTTCTGATACATAACATGTAATTGTGAAGACTGTGGCCTGAATCAGGCATGTCTCATCCTTGCTTTTCAGCACTCTGGAGAGGCCCTTGATAGCAGATTTTCCTAATGCAATTTGTCTTTTTATTTCTTGGCTGCTGGTGTCGAGTATTGACTGTGCAAGCTGAAACTGTTAACCATCTAAATCTCTTCTCCATCTATTATGGTGCTGCCAATTGGCCCAATAGTGAGAATCTTTGTTTTCTTCATGTTGAGCTGCAATCTATATCGAAGACTACAGTCCTTGATCTTCTGCAGCAAATACTTCAGGTCCTCCTCACTTTCAGCAACCAAGGTTGTGTTATGTGCATAATGCAGGTTGTTGGTGAGCTTTCTTCCAATCCTATTGCCACATTCTTCCTTATAAAGTGTAGCCTCCCAAACTATTTGTTCCACACATAGATTGACAAGGTATGGAGACAGAACCCATCCCTGATGCACTCTTTTCCTGATTTTGAACCATGTAGTATTTTTCCTTGCTCTGTTTTAGAGGACCGCTTCCTGGTTCAAGTACAGGTTTCACATAAGCACAATCACATGTTCTGGGATTCCCATTCTTCTCAAGGTCAGCCACAATTTGTTGTGATCCACATAGTCAAACGCATTTACATAGTCAATGAAACCCAGATAGACTTCCTCTAGTAATCTCTGCTTTCACCCAAGATCCATCTGACATTGGCTATTATGTCTTCTAAACCTAGCTTGTATTTGTGGTAGTTTTCTGTCAATGTACTCTTCCAGCTGTTTTTGGATGATCTTCCATCATTTTACCCTTATGTATTATTTATCTTTATTCTCATTTATCAATTATCTTTACCCTAACTCATCCACCTTGAGAAGAGTCATCAGGTTTGGCATCTTTGCAGGTAGCAAGACCAGTCTGGCAAGTCCTTCCCCTTTAGTCTATTGCCATTCATGTTGGGTAAGGTTTTAGAACACCAATGGGCTGTCTTGGTCACTAGGCAGGACAGTAGTATTCACTAGTTACCTTAATTTTTCAAGATGGGATGAAGGTACAATCTATCCCATCAGACCCTTGGGAATTCTTGCATAGAAGTTTAAGGGTATTATTTGTTAAAGCTGTTTTTCAGGAACAACTACTGCTTATAGTAACCATACCGCACCCCTGGACCTGGGGGTACTGCAGCACCTAGAAAACACTTTCAGATGATATGGGAAGAACTATATAGGAGCAACAGCATTTTCTCCTACCCATTCTTCTCCAGATATTCCTGAGAAATGTAGGAATCTGTCCAGTGGTAAACACCCTTTTAGCCCCTCTCATGTTGATTGTGAACACATAGTATTGAAGCCATGTTAGCCAGCCCTTCATACCCTTATTCCCTCCCTGCTTTACAGAACAAATGTTTCAATTGACCATTCCAATTTTCTATCAATCCATTATTCTGATGGTAGTAGGCAACTTGGTATGTCATTTAATGTTTCTTGGCTCATTGCTGTATTCTTTGGGCTGTAAAGTGTGTTCTTTGATCTGAGGAAATATAACCTGGTGGCTCAAACTGGTACAGTACCTTTGGTTTCAGTCCTTTAATACTATATTTTGGCATTTGGATCAGTTACAGGCTATACAACACCCAGTCCAGATTAAGTGTATATTCCTATGAGGCTCCATTTGTAGCCACTTGGTGTCACTGGTCAAATATAATCGAACTGCCAATTTTGTGCAGGGCCATTCTCCACCCCACCTCCCACCACCGCTGGGAATCTATCTCACAGCCATCTATACTCTCTTCTTTCTCTTGCTGGCAAGGAGAATTATCTTTATTGGTGTTTTGTGCCTCAGAGGGAGAAAAGAGGTATATGTGTATTTTCACCCTATCTTTGCATTGCTGCAGCACTCCTATTTCTATTCATTTAATGGACCCAGGTGGCCCACTCAAGGGAGTGTATCAACATGTCCACCTGCTGATCCCAGTCACCTTCTGATACTGGCAAGGGGTTCTTTCGATAGACATTGACATGTTCTATTCTAATGCATTCCCTAAGTTCCCAGAGTGGTTTCCATAGGTCCATGCCACACACTGGTGTCCCTTTAATAGTTCAGTTTTCTAAGGCCCATTTGCCCGACAATATGGCTAAACCATTAACCCATGAGTTGGTAAAAAATCCAAACATATGAACTATTACCATTGCAGAATTCCTCAGTCACTGCTAGGAAGACAGCATACAGTTCAGTCCATTGTGCTGCTCTGTTCTTGCTTTCCTCAATCAAGGCCTTCCTATGTACTGGTCTTAATATAGCAATTTTCCACATCAAATGTTGTCCACATATTCTGAAACTGCCATCCATGAATCAAGCAACCCTTAGTTGATCAGCAGGGAAGTTGTTCACAGGGCACTGTCCATGTGGCAGTGGGCTCTGGCAGTCTTTCCACAGGCCTGTCAACTGTCAAATACAAAGGTAATGACAGCGTCTATATGAAGGTTAGCAAGGAACCAAAGAATACTGGGTCTACAGAAACTGAGACAGATTTCCCTAGATGACATAGAAGAGCCTTCCCCTGCAACCCCAAATTTGACCTTCTAGTTTACTAGTGAGAAAACATTTTTTTAAAAACCTGCCAACTTGTGGTATTGTTTTCTGCAGCACTAGAAAATAAAGACAAATATGAAAGCATTAATGTTGAAGGTGAGGCTTGAAGAATATTTGGCTACTAAGAAGTAGCCAAATAGAAGGGAAGGTTAGTACAGGTGGAAGAACAGTAAAGCACAGGAAAATGTGAGAAATGAAGCCTACTTGGATAATGATAACAACATTGTTATTCGGCTTTATGAGAATATGCCATGGAAGGAGGGCAGAAGATGACAAAGAATTCACAAAACATTCTTATGTACCCCATGATGGTATGGAGAATTCATTCTAAAAGAAGTAAATGATTTTTCACTGCAAACAAATGATTAGATTTCTAATTGTTGAAGACAAATAGAAAAGAGTCCACTGAGAAATTAAAAAAACAAAACAAAAAAGCAGACCCCCACCCCCAAACAGTGAATGGCAGTAAGAATGGAGAATAAGGGAAACAGGAAAGGATCAACATGACTTGACTGATTGGATGAATTAGATTTCTAGTCATACTGCAGAGATTTTACAGACTCTGTTCCAACTGCTAAAATAATGTGAAATCCAAGAGGAAGACAATGCCTGCATGGTAGTGACTCAGGAGGCAGTTAGTGGTAGTGGCAATGGAAGCAGTAGAACAGCTGAATGAGTTAGTGTCACCCAGGATAGAATGCAGAAGGCGAATCCGGAAGGCAATGCCGTGCCAACATTACTTGTGGCTTCTGAGTGCTATAGCTCTCTTCTGTCAACAGCTTTTCCCTCTCTCCAAGAGGAAGAAGCCAGGGCTGGCTGATGGCAACAATCCTGATGGCAATCTCCTCCGGGAACACTGGATGGTTAATCGCATGTTCATCTTTGAAAATGTGGACTTCCCCAAGTGTACGGGCAACATCAAAGTCGTGGGCTGCATGTACTATGAAACTGGACCAAATGGTTGGCATTGCCTAGATGACAAGATGTTTGTTGCCTAGGAATGAGTTTTCCCCAAATGACTGAAAGGAAGGGGCCTCTGCTCTACCTCCAACCATAAAAACTATTCTCCACAAGAATAGGCACTTTAGCTGACATAACTGCTCTGTAACCTTCTCTGTACTAATACAAGGTTATGAGTATCAAAGAGTCCACTGGAACATGCAAAAGATTAGTCCTCAAGTGCATGCTTCTTGCATAGTTGGCTTAGTGCCACATTTCCTAACCTCCCTTCCTTGCAGTTTTGGGACATTACACAAATCTGTTTTTACCCTTGCTGCTCCACTTTATTGCTGTAGGAAGACCGTACCAACCCATTAGTCACAATGACACGGTAAATGATTCTTATGTGCTAATATTTGAAATATTACCCCTTTCTGTTTCACTCAAGAATACTTATTAAGTATCTGAGAGTGACTATGACTAATCTTGTACCTACAATATTTAAACCACTTGTCAGAAACACATCACTTTGGAAGTTTGAAAAATTCTTCTCTAGGTTGATAGTGACACTGTATTGTGTACTTAGGCCCACCTGAGTTTCAAGTCTTTTCTGTATCAATTCCTCAGTGCTATAATCTGTATTGAGATCTATCTGATTTGTGTTATATGCCACTGAGATGAGTATGACACATAGCAACCCTATAAACAACAGATCTGAACCCTATCCTATGCTGTACCATCCTTGTCTCTGATGTAAGAGTCCATTGCTGCACTGTGTTGATCCATCTCGTTGATATTTTTCTTTCTCTACCTTTCCAATAATGCTATCCCTTTCTAAGGAATAGCCTCTCCAAGCAACATGTCCAAAGTAAGTGAGATAAAGCTTTGCTATCTTTGCCCCTCAGGAGCACGCTGGCTGCACTTTCTCCAAGATATATGTTAGTTCTTTTGGCAGTCCATAGGATATTCAGTACTCTTCTACAACACCAAAACACAAAGATATCAATTCTTCTGTTATCCTATTCATAGTCTAGCTTTCAAGAGGCATAGCAAGTGACAGAAAAGACCATGGTCTGAATCAGGTGCACCTTAGTTTTCAAACTGACATCATTGATCCTTGGTAATTTGAAGATGTTCCTGACAGAAGACTTTCCTAATGCAGTAAGTCTTCTGATTTTCTGACTGCTGGTGGCAAAGATGCTGACTGTGGACCCAAGTAGACGAAATCGTTGATATTTTCACCATCTTCCTCATCTATGATGATGTTGCTTATCGGCCCAGTGGTGACGATTTTTGTCTTAATGATGTTGAGATGTCTTCTACACGAACATATACGTCTGTCTTATCTGAACAAGTTCCTTTGTTCCTAGGAAAGACTTCTTGAATAAATAGGAACATCATTCACTGAACCAATTGGCTGTACTCTTCAGAGTTTTGTTTTCAATCAGAATTATGACATGAATCCAGGATATAAACTTTCTATTGAAATGCCCCTAATCCTATGACTGTGGGGTTGCTTCAGGCATTTGATGTTACCATGATTACTTGTTTAACCTTTAACATGATTTCCAATTGTTCTGTCATTTCTCATCATGTTAAAAGGAATCTTTATAACCAGGTCAGGGGTCCTCCCAGCACCTCTAAGAATCAAGGACTAAAATAAGGACTAAATACTCTATCATCTTCAGTCCATTCCTTAAATCTATATTCTGGTTGCTTTCTCCTTTCATCACCCCAAAACTTACACTAAAGTCTCAAGTAAACTTGGACACAGTTCTGCAACCAACCTATTATTATTTGCCATTAAGTTAATTCCATCATGCATTTAAAGGAGAACTGTTCTCTAGGGTTTTCAAGGCTGTGACAGTTTTGAAACAGCTAGCCAGACCTGTTTCATTCTGTTATACATAAAGTTACCATCAGAGGAAGCCAATCAGCACAACACAGGGGTTTTTTAAAAAGTTCAAAATTATACTAGACTTTTTTATAATTCATCTTTTTCATTTAATAAGATAGAGTAAAAGTGATCCCATCCTGTCTGTATACACAGTCTTTAATTCAACTAAATTGTTGTACTATAATTTAACCAATCCAGTATTAAAAGTGCCTTAACTTTCTTTACTTTTAGAAATGCTGATATAATTAGGGTTGGGGTATGACATAAAAACTGGATAAATTATGTATATTGTATTGAAACAGATGAGGGAAAGAACAGATTAGAGGTGCTATATGATTGAGTATTATGGTTAGCACAGGAATCCAGAATTAAGGTTGCATAGAGACGTGTACTCGGGGTGGGGGGAAAGGGATGGGGGAATTGTATAGTAATGAAGGAATTTTTTTTTTCTTTTTGGAGAGGGGAGCAAACCGGTTGGGGGGGGTTGGGCAGGGAGAAAAGTGCGGCAATGAATGACTGGGGATCAAAAACCTCTGTAAATGTCTATTAAAATTCATAAAAAAGGTAGGGGAGCTCTGGTGGCCTAGTGGCAAGAAGCTGCAACTACAATCCCAGAGGTGCACGGTTCGAATCCACCAGATGCTCTGCCGGGGAAGGAGGGGCAATCTCCTCCTATACCAGTCAGATCTGATTTGACGGTACACGCACACAAAACTTAATTAAAAAAAAAATTCATAAAAAAGGAAAAAAAAAGAAATGCTGATATAACATTCAACCTTGTAGTTAAATCTGTATGACATCTTTTAATTCTTTTCTTAGTATTCATTACTGAACATAGATTTAGTTTGGATGTACATTTTTAAAACTTCACTATATTGACAATCCTCAAAAAATGCTGTTCTAATATACCTTTTTCCACAAGTATAAAACAGTACTTCTTTTTCTGAAACCTTATTAACCATGGCTATTTATTATAATAAAAATTGAAGAAAAAAAGAATGTGAGTTTGGCAATGAGTCACAGGGTTTTGTTTCCTAGTGAACAGAAAAATTATGTTTACAATAAATGGTAGTCTATTAAGTGTGCAATACGATTATGAAAAAAAATTGAAATACTGCAACAATTACCAAGTGTGACAAGAGACATAAAGTGAACGTGCTACTGGAAAAATGATGCTGGAAAAACAAGTAGATTTGTTCCACACAGGGTTACCACAAACTTTCAAACTATCAAAACCAAACTATTTCTGATGCACAATAAAGTGGAATTTAAAAAGAAAATAAGCCTAAAATATAGGCAATAAAGAGGGCAGTCTGATTTTTATGTGCTGTGCTATTTGCCAAAAAAAAGAATATGGGAACAAACATGGTATGCCCAGAAAAACAAATTTCCGTTGCCAATACACTGTATTTGAGGTAATAATTTTGAAATAACAATTTCTAAATGACAACTGCCCAGAAGAAAACAGGCAAAATAAAAATAGATGGGAACAGAATCTTGGGTAAAAAAATAAAACATGAAAGCTGTAAAGATGTGTCCAGAGAGCTAGGGAAAGAAGGAAAAGTACAAAATGGCAAGAAAACTAAGTGAGAAAAGAATAAAGCTGGAGATGATTTATTAAGGCCCAAGTCTTTTTCAGAAACTAATAGAACTTCTAGATCATGATACTTATTTTTATGAGCTCTAATATGCTCAGAATTGATGACTTTAAACTGTGGTATTGGTAGAGTATAGTGAATACACTAAGGATTATTGAAAGAATAAGGAAATCTGTCTTGGACAAAGCGCAGTCAGAATGCTTCTTGAAGGTAAGGATGTGATACCTGGTCTCACATTGGACACGGTATCAGGGGTTCCAGACCAAACATCATGCTTAGTAAAGGACATGGTTAGTGACAATAGGAAGACCTTCAATGAAATGGACCAGCTCAGAGGCTATAAAACAGTGCGCTCAAGCACAGCCGAAACTGTAAGGTTGGGGTAAGACAAGGCAAGTTTAATACCGTTTGAAATAGGGCTGCTATGAGTTGAAACCAACTCGACAGCATCTTACAACAAAAATCTGCTCATGTTAGTTAACATGACATCAGTTATGATAATTTCTTACTATCCAAAATGTGTTTAAATATGTCCTAGAAATATTTGCTTTCACTTTACCTTTTGCAGATTTTAAATCTTTAGAATAAAAAAGTATCTAAAGCCAAAAACCACATGTCATATATTTGAAACAGATTAGTAAATGGATTACATTTCATGATCAGTCGTTCATGGTGATACTCATACATACTGGAATATCAACATTAACAGAATAAATAGTTATAAAACAAAAGCTCTTTAACACAATGTGCACATCTTAACTATTAAATAGACCTGGTAATACTAGTTGGGATTAATATCTGAACATGATAATACATATAATGTCATGGTATTAAAGAACCAAGTAAATAAAAATCTCTAGGAAATCTATAAGTGACACAATGATTATATAATTACAAATAATTTTATGTAAAAAATTAAAAACATATTACATATGGGAGTAACATTTATTTATGAGCTATACTATGAATATTAGCCAATGAGATATAAACACTTTAATTCCACTTAACTCTAGAAACCTAAAGGCACAAATGCAAGTGATTATATCTTTAAAAACAAAGAAGAAGTTGTATGAATTCTGGAAGATTTTAATCAGTCTGACACTATTTTACAATACAGAAAGAAGTTTTCCACAAACATTCCTTCACAAAGCCAACCATTTTATATTTACATAGAATTTTAGTAATTTAAATGTGAATCTATGATACAATGTTATTTATTTCAGAAAACATAAAAAATATAGTTCTTTTAACAGCCATGCTCCCATTTTTTGATGAAAGCTAATTTGCTCATCTTAATGTTAGTTTAACACTTTAAATGCACAACGGGAATTCAGTCAGTGGTAAGACAGAACACTATCAACCAGAATAGGCAGAGGGCTCATCGTCACTTAGGTCTGAATCATCGTCATCTACTCCTTCAATGACTGATTTTTTCCCTTTACAACAGGATACAATTAATCCAATCAAGAAGACCTGTAAATTTAAATAAGATATGTGTTAATTTTCAAATCTAAAATAACCTGGAAAACAATACACTTAAAGTCCAATGGCACTTATGTGATAATATAGTATGTGTATAGGGTGATGGATACAATTAAGTTTATAAGATGTTAAGTGAAGAAATGTCAAATCATCACTAGGACAGCTGTACTTACCCCAAGAAAGGCCCAGTTTCCAAAATAGTATGCAGCACTAAAGAACCAGAATTTGTGAAGGAATAGATATGTCCGGGTAACAGTACACTGATCTATGAAAGCAAATAAAGAACGATGGTGAGACGGTTCCTTTATTAAAACTGAAGGTTGCTACTACATCTTATTTTTATTTTTTTAGTCTCCCAGCCACTCCCATAAGGATTTATAACTTTGGACACTTGACAGAGACGGTGTCATTGAGTAACAGTCAAGTCAATATCCATAGACTGAGAATTTAATAAAATATTTTCAAATATTAATGCAAGAAAACAGTGACAGAAAATGTTCGATAAAGAGGGCCTTGTGATAGAGTGAAACAGTGGTTTGATGAGTTTTGTGGTTTTTAAATAACATCATGAAAAGTGTATTTTCCTTCATCCCCCTTTTTCCTGTCTATGCTAATGGGTTTTTATCGTTTCTAATGTTGTTAACAAAAGCTAATAACCAAGGTCATGAAGTGTTAAGAACAGAACCAAGCCTACATCTGTCTCCAAAGCCTATTAAATACTTCAATATACTGTTAAATTACTAACAAGTAATATTTGTTTTAAAATACTAATGCCAGTAGAATGATAAATCTTAAAAGTTTTAAAAATACTCAACTTATTTGAAATAGAAATATTTTAACCTAAAATGCTACATATGCTTTAAAACAATGATAAAATTTTCTTGATGAATATCAAGGAAAAGAGTTAACAAAGTCATATGCCTTTCAGTGTATTGAGTAATAATTTCCCAGGAATATATAATGCACAGAATATATATATCACACTTTAGAAATATTTTTTAGCTTTTTTATTCTCTTTAAAGAATGCTACTGAAGATAGGGCTATATATTCTCAATAAATAAAATATTATTTACTTCTATCCTTCTTGTTTAAATTTTGTGTTCTAATTAAAAAGAAATGATTTCTTCTTCTCCTTCAAATGTAAGCATTTAAGTGGTGGACTAGTTATTTGAAATAAAGGTTAGACTCCATATTATTGTTATTATGTGTCTCCGCGTTGACTACAACTCATAGCAACTCTATAAACAGCAGATCTGAACCTTGCCCTATCCCATGGCATCCTCACAATCTGCAACATCTCAAGTTTCTTGTTACAGTTACTCTGCCAATCTATCTTGGTGAAGGTCTACTTCTTTTTCTCTGTCTCTCCACTTTTCCCAGCGTGATGTCTTTTTCCAAGGATTGAACCTTCCTGACAACGTACTCAAAGCATGTGAGACAAAGCTTCACCCTCCTTGACTCTAAGCAGAAACCTCGTTGCATTTTCTCCAGGGCAGATTCGTTTTGTTCTTCTAGCAACCCATGGTATATGTAGTACTCTTTACCAACACCAAAAATCAAAAGAATTTGTTGTTGGTGTTATGTGTGGTCAAGTCGTTTGCGACTCATAGCGACCCTATGGACAACAGCCCTAAACCCTGCTCTATCCTGTGCCAATTGGACTGCCTCTGACATACCCATCCTGATTACCCCAGTCACTGAAACAATCCACCTCAGAGAGGGTCTTCCCCTCCTGCACCGTCCCTCCACCCTCCCAAGCATGATATCCCTCTCCAAGGACCTATCTCTCCTTACATGTCCAAAGTATGTCAGACGAAGCCCCAGAATCCTTGCCTCCAAGAAGTAGCCTGGTTTAACCCACTCTAAGATGAATCTGTTTGTTTTCTTGGCAGTCCATAGTATATTCAATACCCTTCTCCAGCACCACAGCTCAAAGGCATCAATTCTCCTTCTATGCTCCCAAGTAGTTGTCCAACTCTCTGATGCATTAACAAGTGATTGCAAAGAGCATGGCCTGTATCAGGCGCACCTTAGTCTTGAGAGAGACACCGTTGCTCTTGAGTACTTTAGAGAGGTCCCTAACAGCAGACTTTCCCATCGCAACATGTTTTTTGATTTCCTGGCTGCTGGTGCCAAGAGTATTGACCGTGGAGCCGAGCAAACTGAAGCTTGTGAACAATCTCAATCTCTTCTTCGCCATACATCGTGATGCTACCAACTGGTCCAGTGTTGAGAATCTTTGTCTTCTTGACATTGAGCCTCAGTCCATACTGAAGGCTGCAGTCCTTGACCCTCTGCAGCAAGTGCCTGAGGTCCTCCTCAGTTTCAGCAAGCACATCTGCATAATGCAGATTGTTAATAGATCTTCCACCAATCCTGACGCCACACTTCTCCTCATAGAGCCCAGCCTCTCGGATAATCTGCTCTGCATACAGGTTGAAACGATATGGAGATAGGACACATCCCTGGCGTACACCCTTCCCAATTTTGAACCATGCAGTATTACCCTGCTCTGTTCTGACAACTGCCTCTTGGTCCAAGTATATGTTTCACATTAGCACAATTAAATGTTCTGGGATTCCCATTCTTCTCAGAGTCAGCCGCAGTTTGTCAAACACCTTTGCATAATCAATGAAACACAGATAGACATTCTTCTGGTATTCCCTGCTTTCAGCTAAGATCCATCTAACATCAGCTACAATATTTCCAGCACCATGACCCCTTCTAAACTTCTGGCAATTCTCTGCTGATGTGCTGCTCCAGACATTTTTGGATAATCTTCAGTAGAATCTTGCTTGCATATGAAATCAATGATATTGTTGCATTGGGAAATTCTGCTGTCAGAAATCTCTTTAAAGAGCAACAATGACAGTTTAAAGACCAAGTTCATCTGCATGGGATTTTCAGTTACTCCTATGTATATGAAAGTTGAACAGTGAACAGAGATAAAAGAAGAATAAGGCCCCAGGAATAGATGGTACACCAATTAACGTCTTTCAGCTAATAGATGCTGCCCTAGATGAGCTCACCAAGTTGTGCCAAGAAATCTGGAGAACAACCACTTGCCAACTGACTGGAAGAGATCTACATTTATTCCCATTCAAAAGAAGGGTGACCCAACAGAGTGTGGAAACTACAGAACAATATCATCGATCTCACATGCAAGCAAGATTCTCCTGAAGATTATCCCAATGCAACACATTTTTTTTAATTTTATCACTGCTGTTATTAGTTTCTTCCAAATACACTCTTTCCATTATTACATTTATCTAAATAAAGACAAAATCTATATGGAAAAGCTTTATTTATTCATTCATTCCTATAGACATAAGTCTATAGGAAAACACTTACTTATTCAAATCATATGTAAAGATTAGCATTAAATTAAGGAAATAAAATTTGTATTCATTATAGATTATAATGAATAATGGCCTCACCCAGAGGGTGTTGTGATGCTAATGAAAAGGCTGTTCAAATCTCCAGCAGTTCAAATGTGTCAACTGCTCTTCAGGAGAAAGACAAGCAGTTGCTTCCTGTTGCAATTTACAACCAGGAAAATCTTATGTTGGATTGCTAAGAGCATTAACCAACCAACTCAGTGGCAATAGGCTTATAGCCACTAACAGACACCCATGTTTGTATATCCATATCCAGAGATCCTATTTCTCTGATTCCCAAAGATGGTGATGCAACAAAATGTGGAAATTAGCAAACAATAGCATTAATATCACATGAAAGCAAAATACTTAAGATTATTTTTAAAATGGCTTTTGGTTGAAATGAAGCAAATTAAAAGAAGTTATATTTTACAATAAAATTTTTATATGAAGAGGGAATACAAAAAACTGAAAATGTAGAGCCTCCACACTTGAGAATACTGCCTTCTTCTCTTCAGTTTCATTTTAAGAACCAAATGAGATTTATCAAGAGATCCATGCACAGTGACAATTGTTGTAGTTGACTGAGTCAAGCATGACTCATAGCAAGTAGTGAACAAAAGGCCTGAAGCCTTTCTATAACTATTATTGTTTCTCAAAGTTCATAGTTTGCAGAGGCACATTGTATAGGAAGTAGATGACACTCCTGCTTCCAAACCTGTCTTAAACTGGGCGCTCCACCACTATATCACTTGATACTCCAGTGGCACAAGGGTCATCATCAAAGCAAACCCAGGTTACGAAAGTACAGCATACTGACAGAAGAATGCTGTACCACTTAGAAGAATGTTCCTCCAAAATATAACAACTTATTTTTAAATACAAAGGACCTCCCTGAGGTCTTGTTAACTCTAAAAAAGAGGCTTAAATAAATAAAAAACAAAAACAAAAACAACCAACCAATATAATATGCTGTTGTTGTCAGGTGCAATTGAGTTGCCTCTGACCTATAGCAACCCTACATATAGCAGCTCTGAACCCTTCCCTGTCCTAAGCCAGTCTCACTAATTCCGGCACACCAACTCCCATTGCCCCAGATACTGTATCAATCCATCTATCTCATCCGGTGTCTTCCTCTCCTGTGCTGTCCATTCACCCTTACAAGCATGATGTCCTCCTCCAAGGACAAATCTCTCTTGGCCATGTGCCCAAAGTATGTGAGATGGAGCTGCTTCAAAATCCTAGCCTCCAATTAGAGAATTGGTTTTACCCTCTCCAAGACAGTTCTATTTGTTTTCTTGGAAGTCCACGGTATTTTCAAGACTCTTCTCCAGCACTACAACTTGAAGGCATCAATTCTTCTGTCATCCTCGGTCATTGTCCAGCTCTCTGAAGTATAACAAGTAATTGTGAAGACCATGACCTGGATTAGGCACAGCTTTGTCTCTAGATGAATAGCGTTGCTCTTCAGCACTCTGGAGAGGTCCCTGACAACAGATTTTCCCAAAGCAATTAATCTTTTGGTTTCCTGACTGCTGGAGTTAAGAGTGCTGATTGTGGAGCCAAGGAAGCTGTTATTGTTATCAACCTCATTCTCTTCTCCATCTATCATGTTGCTGCTAATTGGCACAGTGGTCAGAATCTTTGTTGTCTTCATGTTGAACTTCAATCCATATTGAAGATTACAGTCCTTGACCTTCTGCAGCAAGTGCTTCAGTTCTTCTCCAGTTTCAGCAAGCAAAGTTATATCATCTGCATATTGTAGGTTGTTGAGTCTTTCTCCAGTCTTGATGCCATATTCTTCCCTGCTTCCTGAATGATCTGTTTTGCATACAGATTGAAAAGGTATGGGGACAGGATGCATCCCTGATGCACTCCTTTCCTGAC